ATAAAAAAAGCCAGTAGCCGGGGAGACACCCCGCTGGATGGCCAGAAATGTTTAGGGAATTGAAGGAGGCCTGGACTCCGTTTCCTGGGACCATCTGGCCGGGTGGCCACTCACTCACCACTCCGGATGGATCTCCTCAGTACAGGAGCAGGGCCTCTTGCTGGGCTCCAAGGACCATGTTGTTGTTTCTCAGCTCGCCAAAGTTCTCAATTCATCATCTCCAGCAACAGCAACTTCAGTGCAGCACAGGAAACGGATGGCGCCAGATCTTCTGCAAAGCCAAGTCTGAACGCAAGTCCGTCCGTCCTTTTTCTGAGATAGGCTGTCACCACATAGCCCAGACTGGCCTTGAACTCCTAGCCCTCTTGCCTCTGCCTCTTGAGTGCTGGGATTTTAGGCGTACACAGCGGTATATGACTCAGCTACTTTCCCCCTCTCTACTAGGAATTGAACTTACAGCCTTTGAACATAACTTGCGGGTTAGGCAAGAGCTTCACCACTGAGCTCCATCTGCAAACCATTTAAAAGATGTAATGGGTCTTGTTGCTGAGTTGCCTAATCTGGCCTTGAAGTTGCCTTGTGTCTTGTGTCATAGGTAGCTATGACCTCAGGCTTGAGCAGCAAGCCTGCCTTATATCTACTTTCTTATATCCAGCTTCACAACTACTGAATTTAACTTTTGATGAATTTTTATATTTCCCAAGACAATGTCCTGCCTTATTTTTGATGTTTACATGTTAAAGGATTGGTCCCTAAACTGATATTATTGGGATGTGGACCTTTTGGAAGTGTGGGCCTCGGGGAAAGTCCTTAGTTCATTGTATGGATGCCTTCAAGGGGGACTGTGGTACCCCAGTCACTTCTTCATTTCTGGCTCAAAGCGGTTTGCCTCTTGCTTCTGTTATAATGTGCTGCCCCTGCCAGAGGCCTAAAGCAATGGGCTTCCCAATCTTGGGTTGGAATCTCCAGAACCTTTGGCCACAATAAACCTTTCTCTTTATGAACTCATTATCTGAGGTATTTCATTGCAGTGACGTAGACCTGACATATGAACCACACCTTCTCTCTGTAAAGCGCCATGGGTTAGAACACTTAGATAGCTCTATGGAGTTTTATCTTGCTTCTAGAAGATTCTAGAAGCTTCTAGAAGATTCATGGCCTGCCATTGCCCTTAGAAGTTGGAATCCTTGTTCATTCTGTGCTTTCACTTGACTCAAATCAAGAAGTCGTGTTCTGGTCTGATCCCTTCTCAGTAGGTAGTCTGTTTTTAGTTAGCAGTTTGTTTTCTGTCTGGGAATTCATTTTCATTTTATATTTGAAAATCTGAATTTGGTCACAGTCATTGGTTCTGTCTGTGTATACATGAATGTGTTTTTATACTACTTTTGCCCAGCAGTTAGTGAGGCTTCCATCAGTGAACAGATGTTTTCTCTCATCGTTTTTTATTAATGCTTTGATCTATTTTACTTTGCTTTCACAGTCTAGTAATTCAAAATGGCGTACAATGATGAACCTCTACAATTTCTCTGAATTGCCATTTGTATTTGTTATAGGAGAATTCTTTAGTGTGAACTTTTAATACATGGATTTGTTTTTCAGCCATGTCCATCTTAATCTTGTGACCTTTATTCCTGGGTATAAGTTTTTCATCTTGTGATCATGCCTTTCTGTTTACCGGAATTCTATTTCTGTTTGCTCTGTATCCTCTTGAATGTCACAGGGATAAGTTGACGTGTTAAATCCATTCCCTATGTTGACTATTTTATTGGTGGATGCTGTATATAATTTGCTTAGTTTGGATTTCATGTTTTGAACTGCTGTGTTTTTCATAGAAGCAGTGAATCTTTGTTGTTTGCTTATATATTTTTAATGAAGTTCTAAAGTATTAAGTCATTTGACATGAACTACATCAGCATTTGGGTGGGTCATTAATGATAGTTTTCCATTATATGGGATATCTTCTTTCTGTCCTTTCTCCTTCACTCTGGTGTTCATTTGTGTGTATTCGTGTGCACGTGGATGTGCATCAGTTTGCGTGTGGTCAGAGGACAGCTGGTTGGAGTTGGTTCTGTCTTTCCACTATGTTGGTCTTGGGGATGGAACCCAGGTTGTTGGACTTGGTGGTAAAGTAAGTGCCTTTACCCACTGAGCCATCTTACTAGCCCCTGACTATTATTTTGATAGTTGTTTTCTGGTTCTTTTGTAGATTCTTTGTACTTTTCCTCCCTGTCAGTATTCCTTTGTGATTAGATTTTGTTGTCTTGTTTGTATCTTGAGGTGGCTTGCTTAAAACCTGGAATGGATGACCTGGAGTCTGGAGAGGCTAAAGAAGTGTTGGGATGGGCATGGAACCTTGAGGCCTTGTAGACTCAAGGCGCTGAGGCAGCCTAAGGGTTTATTTTGCATGAGAAAACCTTGTGAGCCTAACTTTGGGTCCTGGGACTATGGGATCGAGAGGTGATCTGGAAGCTTGATGCTGTGTCTTGGTCTAGTACTCACATCTACTGGAATGCGCATGGGTCCTGAATGCACTAGACTGTGGAGATTAGCTTCAGGGCTGCACCATCAGTAGTAAGTCTAGAGCCAGCATCTGCATGTAACATCTTGATTTCTGACTTCAGAGGTTACTTGGTTCTGGATATTCCTAGAAGTAGTGGCAGGGCTGGCCTGGAACCCAAAGCTTGGTTGTTACTGGGTGGACCTGGACCCTGTTTCTGTGAGATTCAGTATAGATCGCTAGGTGTAAGCCTGATAACTGGGTTCACGGGACTGCCCTGGACTTTGTGCCAGAATAGGACTGGTCTCTGTGGCCATGGAGGCCAGGATGACCTGAATCCTGAGGCTGCTGGATTGGGCCTAGAGTTTTAGTCTAATTGTCTTCCCTCCTACACCAAAGTAGGTAGTTATCAAAATGCCAAGGTAAGCTTTGCTCTTGGTGAAGAGTGAAGGTACACAAATGGACTGCTGTGAGAAGTCAGTGGTCGAGGCGGAAGTAACAAACTCCTGCCCTGGGGTTGTGAAAGGCCTGGGGTAGCTCATTTTCTCTTGCTATGACTGAATATCAGATGAGGTAACTTAAAAAGGTTCGGAGGCTTATTTAGTCGTGTCAGCATCCGCTTGGCATCTGGTTAGAGCCTTCTTGGTACGCCATTGTGTGTCTGAGGGCATCACATGGTCAGACAGAGCAAGCTTGATGTCTTCAGTTTTTCTTCTTACAGGTCCATGAATGCCATCGTGTGGAACTTACCTTCAGACCTGATTTAATTCCCCCCTAAAGATCTCCCTCAAAATACCATTGTATGGACAAGATTCTGGTACTGATGTCAGTGCTAGTGGGGGGTTGGTAAGAGTTAGTGTTTACATCTCTGGGATAATTGAAACATTATAAGGCTCTTCTGGAAAGTAATTTGGCAGAAATAGTCTTCTATATGACTGTTCTCTATGGCCTCCTTTCCATATTTCTAGATGCCTACCTTGAGGAATTGGGGTAGGAGGTCTGCGTTTATATTCAGAGCTTCTCACTGTCACATGGCTTACAATGGATACAAGTTGGAAGGAATTTGCTTGAATGTCCTTTTTTTTTTTTTTTTTTTTGGTTTTTCGAGACAAGGTTTCTCTGTAGCTTTAGAGCCTGTCCTGGAACTAGCTCTTGTAGACCAAGACTGGCCTCAAACTCACAGAGATCCGCCTGCCTCTGCCTCCCGAGTGCTGGGATTAAAGGCGTGCACCAACACTGCCCGGTTGAATGTCTTTTAAGAATAGTAAACCATGTCAGTATGACATGGAAAAACTCCCATGACACACTTTAAATGAAAAAAATACAGAACAGTACATATCAAACATGATCTTTATTAAAAAGGCAGAAAAATACTATCTATATATGACTTTAAAAGCCAGAGATAAATGGTAAGATTCTAGGTGAATTATGTTTTCTTTTTAAACTTGTCTGTAACTAAAATTAGTAGGGAAAATATAGCTAAATAAAGGCTATGCTACTTTGCTCGAAAATGCTGCAAGTCTGAATAACTTTTGTAATCAGAAATGTTGTCAAAATGTCTCTAGATACCACACGTTATACCAAAAGATTGTCATTTTTCATAATTGATGGGCAAAAAGTGGTCTGTCAGAGCTGAATGTAGGGGTTATCATCACCATGCAAGTGAATTTTGAATTCTCCAGCTTTCCACATTGTGTAGTGAACACTGCCATTGCCAGAACTAGCATATGAACTCCAGCCTGGCCCATCTGCTGCTCGGGCTGGGTTTGGCTGACACAGATTTATTTCATTTCGTTCCTTATTTGGCAGCATAGCCTCTTTCTCATTATCAGAGCTGAGGTTCAGTGCCAGGGCTACTCACTTCATTACCTGTTTGTTGTTTTTTCCTTTTGTTCCATTTTGTGAAATGAAGATGCCAACAATGGGAATTCTGTCTCTGAAAATGCAGCTCTTGTCCTGTGGGGTCTTGGTCATGTCTTGCTAACTTGCTGCTGCTTCTGATACAGAGTATTTTGGTTGTTTTGATAAGTAGAAAGCACCATGGTTTTTTTTAAAAAAGGATTTAGCATTCCTTTTCCCAGCCCCACCCCCACCAGAAGATTTGGAAACAGTTCCGAATAGAAAGTGTAAACACTAGCCTTAAGCTAAGCCCTCTCCATCTGGTATTGGTGCATTTTTTTTTATGCTGAAGGCTCATGCTGTTTGCTTAATCTTCATCAGTGTTGCAGAAACATGAGGGGTGAGACTTACCTCTACCCCAAGCACCTTACTTAAGAAGGATTTTCCTCTGCCTTGGTTTGTATTTCAAAGAGCATAGGGATAGTCAGCCAGACTGCTAGGAATTTGTTCAAGTGAAACTTTAGGACTATTAGAACCATCTTAGAGATTTATTGGATGGATTTGTTAGGATAGGATAGCTGCTGCCAGAGAATCCTCTCTGATCCTGACACTATTTATTTTCAAAGATGCTCTTTGTAAGACTTTGTTCTACTTTCCTCTCTAGGTTACCCTGAAGAGACTTATCCAGTGTATGACCTTTCCGATAGTATCAAGCGTAGGCAAGAAACAATCCTGGTGGATTACCCTGATCCAAAAGAGCCCTCTGCTGAAGAAATAGCTGAACGAATAGGGGTGATGGAAGAGGAAGGGTCAGAGCATTTGAGCTGGGATCATTTGCCCACTGACCCTGGAGCCCAGGAAGATAATTCTGTTACCCTGTGTGATCCTAAAGCAGAATCATGCTCCTGCTGTTTTCATGAAGAAGAGGATCCTGCTGTCTTGGCAGAGAATGCTGGTTTCAGTGCAGATGGCTACAGTGAGCAAGAGGAAGCCACCAAGGAAGACTGGTCCCAAGACTTCACAACTGAGGGGTTGGCAATCAGCACTGATAACACACACGTGGGTGGCATGTTGAGGAAGCGCAACCTCCAGAGTTTAGAGTGAAAGCAGCCTGTTTGATGATGTATCCATTACTCTACTCCCAAGGTATCTTTCCTTAATTTCATCCATGGCCCTGTGCCATCTGTATTCAATAGCATAGTTTTGGGCCACTACCATGGATATTATTTATCCTTCCTGGTGCTTGCTCACCTGTCTCCTTGTAAAGTAGACATTAGTGTGAACACAGGACAGCATCATCTCTTCCTGCCTTTCTGCATCAGAGACACTAACTCATTAGGTAATTATACTTGTTTGATTGTGCCTGGAGGTGGTATCACCTGTGCAAAGATCTGACCCCTCCACATAGGGGTAACAGAAGGTTTACCTATGAATGAACATTGATTAGCAGATGTTGGGGACTTAAGGTTTTGAAAATGAAGATTATAGACTCCCAAATGCCTTATTCTTTTGAACTTGTTAGTAGTCCCCAAGAAGAACATGCTCAATTGTGAGGATGAGGGGCCCAGAGCACACAGCAGGACAGCTGACTGAGCTGTAGCCTCCCCTCAGAACCTTCTAGGTTAAGATATCCCGGCTCCTCTGGAGTACACACGACTTTTTGGAGACCATTTTGCTTGTATATCACCTTGATCTCTAGCTATCCATGTCCTTACTCTGTTGAACAGAATTGCCAATCCAGAAGCACCTTTATATGTCCGGTCTGCGGCTAGGGGAAATTTGAGGCTTAAGTCTGAGTCCTACAAAGCTGAAGTTTGAGGCTGTTGAAGCTCCAGGATGGCCTAAGTATAGTGGTCCTTCCATGAGGAGGTCAGGGGGCCAAGGCTCCACGTCTTTGTGAGGCAGGATGAAACCTGTGAATCCTAACAAGGGCGAGTCAATTCAGTTCCATGTAAGACCTGCAAGTTGAAAGAAGGTGTGTCTCTAAGGACATGCCCAGCCATGAAATGGGAAGCCCAAAAGTTAAGTAATTCTGTGAAAGTTGGATATAGTCTTTAGAGCTCTATTGTGCCTGGTCTGAATATGATGCCAGAAAACAGTGTGGACCACTCAGGAACACACTGGCTGCCATCAGAAGGTATGGGGCCACAGCAAGATAATCACTACTACAAAGATTTACGTGTTTGGTGAACTAGAAAAGGCCCTGGATATTGAGTCTGGAAATCCACTGCACTGCATTGATTCCTGTATAGAACACTGATTGAAATGGCGAAGAATGCAGTTAGCGTGGACTAAAGATAGTCTTGGTGTAACTAAGTGTAAAAAGCAATGTAGGTGCTCTTGTTTTGCAAAATGTTTTCTGTGTGGGTCCCTCATCCACTGTGTGAAGTTGATTTAGGATAGCCCCGTGTTCTCACTTTTGTCCACAGGATACGATCTCCTTATCACAACTTGTTTCTCTCATTCACTCATCCAACATTGCCTCATGCCGAGTACAAAAAGGTTGAGTTTGTATCTTAAAGAGTTCCATTTTACTATGGGAGTTTGACAGATGCACTGAAGACTATAGGAAGGCTCGAGATTGTGGATTCTTTGGGCACAGAAAACTGGGTCCTGATGCTTCCCTGCACCTCTGTCTGTAGAGTTGTGGATTGGTTCCTTAGGCAATCTGAGCCTGGTGTGGGCATCTGTAAAGTGAGGGTTGTAAAACGCAGGTCTCTCAGGGTCTTAAGCTGTAAATGAGCTAGTTGGTGTGCACAGGGCAGCCTGTGGTGTGCACAGGGCAGCTTAACAGGCTCAGGCATGATAGAATATCACATGGCTGCTATTTTATTACAGTGTGGACCCAAAACTACAGGACCATGCAAGAACAGGAATGCTTTTCCCAAAGTAGCAATAAATTTCCAAAGAGACTTTATGTCACACTAAGAACATGGGCAAGGAAGAGAAAGGACATTCTGGCAGAAAGAATGGGTTAGCAAGAACAGTGGGGTGTGTAAATGGATATTCGGCTGAAAAGTGTTAGAGTCAACTCTGTTATTATTGGGGTGAGCTATGGAAACAGTTCCTGCCAAAAGGACCAATTAAAGTTCTTGCCACTGTGGATATTAGTTTGCATATAGGAATATATTTGTCTGTATACACCAGAAATTTCAGTGTACCTTTCAGTAATTTAGAATGTAGGTTTTTTTTTTTTTTTTGGATATGATGATTTTACATGTATATCCAACCCAGGGGACCAGCATCAAGGGATTGACTTTTATTGTGTTATTCATGTCTCAGTATTCAAGGCTGCAGACTTCATCAAGGCCTTGCTATGAGTTTTTCAGTGACCCCTGGGGCACTGTAGCAGCAGCTGGCCTAAAAAGCCACTGCATCACCTAGGACCATGCTTGGTAAATAAAGTGGGTGATCAGCCAGAAGATCCCTTCACAATGTCATGGTAGGAAACGGGACAGTGCCTCATGTAGTGCTCAGGGACTAGGTCCAGAGGTGTGCTGAGTGGAGATGGATGTAACTTCTAAAGTTTTTTGTACCTTAGACTTAGGTGATAAAATCATTCATGGTCTACACTCAGGCACTTTGAAAAAAGGAACTTATATACACATGGCATAATATTTTCTTATCTCTGTGACCAAATACTCAGCGAAGGCAACTTAATGCAGGAAGGGTGTATCGTGTGTGGACAGTCCTTCCTGGCAGAGGGGCCGTGAGGACTGGTTCAGTCAGGGAGCAGAGAGAGATGGACACCAGCACTCGGTTTGTTTCCCCTTTTATTCAGTCTGGGACCCCAGCCAATGGGATGCTGCTGCCCACAATGAAGATGGGTCTTCCTCCTGACTGAACCGTCTTATAAACTGTCATAGACAGGTGTGTTTCCATGGTATTCCGAATCCCATCAAATTAGCAATTGAGAGTAACCATCGTGGCAACAGGTTTAAGGTAAGATCTTCCTGGACATGTGTTCTACAACTTTAGGATTTTTTATCAACCTGATGCGTGAACAAGACCCTTTCCCCTTTTAGAACATCCTTTATTTGGTCTTCCTCACAAAGGCAGAAGCTAAAGGGCTAAAGGAGCCAGACCATGGTTCAGGCAGGAACTGCTTTTAATTCACATCAAAAACCCCCGAGTAAATAAGTGAACCCTACTTATCGATCTGCTCTCCACTTGCCCTTTATCTAGACAGTTTGTATCCACAAAGAATATTTTGTGTGCTACCTGTTGAGCAGTGATCGGGAAGACCATGAACCAACTATCCTGCAGCCTTAACCATCAGCATGTCTAAAACATACCTTCTAGTAGCAAGGTAACAGGCCATTCCTTCACTTCATAGGGCACCAGTTCCCTTGTGGATGAACTGGGCAGCATGTCTGCCTCCTAGGACTGTTTGTGGAGTGTCTATCCCACAGTGAGATGTGCAGTGGGTGCTTAGCACCATCACTTGAATCTCTTGCTGCTGGGCTGCCCCACTTGACACCCTCTCTGAGGCCACTCTGGATGCCTCAGGTGCAGGTCACTCTATGGGGGGGGGGGGTGACGTTAGGATGACTTCCTTCAAGAGTAGATATTAGCTTTGATGCCTGATGCTTGTTTTCCTTTTTAAATGGTTCCAGCTCTGACCATGGCCTAGAGTGACGTGGCTGGGCCTTTCCCACCCTTGAGTCCTATAGCCCAGTTCTGTCCACAAGGACCATGTCCACCAGGTACACTTAGGAACTGTTGGCCAGTTCCTTTAGGGTGACCCAGAGGACATTGAAGTATCATTTTTGCACACTATGGATGTGATACCAGGGAGAAGACAGTGTTGATCTGGATGTCACTGGTTTTAAACACACATTGCATCTTTTTGTTGCTATCACCCACCTGACCCTTTGAAGCTCCTGGGAATGAAAGGAATGGAGAACATTTTTAAAAGAGACACATTTTCTCCCTCTGTGAAAAACAAGGACACAGCAATCAAACAGTTCAAGTTTAATGTGTTGATACATGTCTGTATTATAGACAAACACTACATTCTACAACATACATAATGCCATTATGGGAAAATACCAAGTTTGTCATTGCACATACAATAAAAAAATACATTTGCTTCAGAATACCAAAAAGTTTATTCAAAAAGTCACTTAATAAAAGCACAGTTTTGCAAGTTTGTCTAAAACTCCAGATAATTTTAAACAAAAATAAAATGTCTGACCACCCCAAAATAGGAAAAGACAATCATGTGCAAATCGACAAATCGACATACATGTTCTAGGCGTTGTGGAAACTGGCTAAGTGTGCTCCCAGCAAGAGAAATGCTGCCTGTCCTCACCAAGCTGGAGCTGGGCTTCCCCTTGTATGCAACTCTGTGGTGCTCTATAGAAGACCCTAAATTTTAGCCTCATCTCCAGCTCTACCTGGACCTTAGTGGGGGAGGAGGGGCAGGAGAACAGAGGAGAGGGGTGCAGTGTCTTTCTTCGGGAAGAAAGAAGGCACAGTGATGAGCTAGGAAAGGTAGTGATGAGATCAAGGGGTAACCTTCACTAACCAAGCTTTGACAGGCCTGCATCTTTATCTTGCAGGTAAAGAGACAGACACAGGAATATGTAGTTTGCTCAAATGTGCTAGCTGCTATAAATGCAGTTGTATACTCCTGGACCAAGTTACCTCTGTGCTGAAAACCCAAACGCATCCCAGTACTTAAGATCTTGAAATGACAGAAAATTGCAAGCTGGAAGTGAATAAGGGCAGGTGGCCATAAACTAAAGTAAGAATCCATCCCATAGCCTGTTCTGGAGACTAGAGCGGGTCTACTAGCCAGAGCCTAGGGCAGTGTAAGGTCCCAACTCTGCAGGGCAGTTGGGCCCCAGTCACAGTGCTAGGCACCACAGAAAGCATGCTTTGATGGCACCTGGCATCCTGCAGTCCCATGAGGGTATCACAGCTGGGGCAAGGAGTACAGAGAAGGGAAGGCCAGGGCTGTTACTGAGGGGAAGGCAGGCTGTCCACCAAGGAGATGGGTGTTGTGCTTGCAGAGCAGAGCTGTGGACGTAGCTCTTCCCTGCAGACCCCATCAGAGCAGTCATCCCTATGCTCACACTAAGAACTGCTTCTACTTCTAAATAAAGTTTGGAGGCAAATACCTTGCCATTTCCAAAAAGATGGGAAAAAAAATAAACTACTTCTACAGTGTTGTTGCTCATCAATGAAGAAGGGAGGTTTACCAGAAGTTCTCTTCCAGCCTGTCATCACACATCCTGGCTCCCAACACCTGTCTTCCCATAGGCATGAACCTGCCCTGCTTCCTCTTAGTGTCAAGATTGTTAAGGCACCATCACTACACCCTCTCAGCTCCTCCAATGAGACCGACACTACATTTCCTTGATAGTCTCCTGCTTAGGACCATGGAAGAAAGCATGGAAAGAAAGGACAGAATCCACAGTGGTCACAACTGCCTCCTTATTTTCCTACTCAAACATAATCTTAAACTTCTGTTGGTTGATTGCAGATTGCCCTTTCCTCTAGACACATGTGCACATGCGCACACACGTACACACACACACACAGAGCACCTTGGAGCCAGAAGGACAGAAAAAGCGAGACTCGGACTTGGGGAAGCTAACCTCACCACTCTGCAGAGGAAGTGTTTTGGAGCAGAGGGTGGAGGGTGGAGAGTTTTAGGGTAGAGAGCCAGTAGCACAGAGGAGCTGCCTAAGGTTCCAGCTGCCCCACACTCTTACGGACTGTTCACTCATCCTACCATCAGTGTGCTGCCTAGCCAAGGACCAGCTAGGAGGAGAGGGTGTGAAAGGTAAGAAAACGTTACTATGGGAGAGGCTGAACCCAGGGGACCCTGAGGCCCTGGTACTTGAGGTCCATGGGCCTGTGCTCAAGAAAAGGCAATGTCACCAGGAGCCGAGCCCCAAGGCTGGTCTGAAGCAGGTGACTCAACTGCTCTTGTCACTCAGTGCCCAACAACGGGTCTTGTGCTGAGGCTACCTTTCTCCACAGTGGGCCTATTTCCTGGTGCAACCAATTTATATTCAGGTAGCCAACACCCTCTTTTGTGTGCTAAAGCAGAGAGCGGAGGCAAAGAGTTTTCCATTGTGCTTCCAGTTCCACCGCTACCACCAGGGTCTCTTCTACCCACTAGACTCCAGAATCAGCCTGTTCAACCTTAAAACTGTCATCCCAGAGAAAGAGCTTGACTAGAATGAAGATCTGGTTCCTACCACTCTTAACATCAGATTTCTCCTTATCACGAAAGGGAGGGAGGGGAAACACAGGACTATGGGAAGGAGACAGATGGCACTGTAATCTTTCAGGAGCTAGGCCAGCCCCAGCACAGAAGTCCTGGTGCGCTCGAGACACTAGACTGTAAACAAAAGGCTAACTTACTGGAAGGTCCTCTCATGGAGATGTATGGCTCAGGTGTGTCAGGTCCTGCTATAGCAGTTGGACCTTGCTTAGAAGGAAATAGGAAAATCCAGGGTTTTTTTTTTTTTTCATAAGTAATGTTTCCATTGACTTCAATCCAGCTTCCTTGCCTGTAGAGCCTCATTTACATATTCAAAGTATGACTTTACTTTTTTAGTTTCTACTTAGCTGTTCTGAGCATATCTGTTTTAAAGCAATGTCTAAAAGTTCTTTGCTTTCCACTGGTTTCTTACCCATCTAGGCAAGAAGCTTGCAAATGACAGTCAAGGCTTGGGCGCTCCCAAGCCCACCAGATGAGTGGTGCCATCCAAGGAAGAATGGCAGTGGAGGGGATGAACCCAGGCTGCCAGCCACATCTACACAGAAAGTGTGCAGTGGCCCTGCTGAGGTCTGTGCACAGCTTGAAGTCCTCAGAGAGGGCCAGGCACAGGTCAGATCCAAACAGACAACTTTCAATAGGGAACTGTCTGATGCCCTACTGAAAGGTTTTCAATCTTAGATATTGACTCCGAGGTCCTAAGTCTCTGGAAATGGGAAGGGAAAGGGTATGCAGAATGGACCCCAGAAGGCCAGGGTCTAGTTTCTGGGTAACAGTAGGAACAAAGGAACTTGAGGTTCTGAACTCTGCCGTTAACCAGTTAGGTAACCATGAGACAAGTCCCATGTTCTCGGGGATGAGCATTGCT